CAACAGTACCAGTTTCTACTTTCTAATTGTCCATTTACGTCAATATATGTAGGAAGGTCCTCGTCGTTACTGTAAGTACTGTAGCCACTATTGTAAGCGCGGGGTGGGGGGGTAGAGGGGGCTTAAGCTCTTGGGTCCTACCTCTCAACACTAAATCGACTAAATACAAGGGCCAAATTCACGAAAGCACTTACGCAAACACTTACGAACCTGTACATCTTTTCTCAATCTTTGGCAGCTTTGTTTCCAATTATTAAACAGTTAATAAGCTCCGAAGCACCAGGAAGCTGTTTATAACAAAAACAACAGTTGAATGAGAAGTTTTCATGCTTGTATACTGTTTAATAAATGTAACCAAAGCCGTCAAAGATTGAGGAAAGATTAAGTGCTTGCGTAAGTGCTTTCGTGAATCTGACTCCTGGTTCTTGGTCGTGTTGGACTCTATACACCTGGACATGTGCCTGGGTTTACCTCGACCACCTTCTTTGGTGCCGCACTCCAATCCTTCGTTATTCTCACGCCGAAACATTATTTATAATGTCTCTGTAGGGCATGTTGCGCTAAATGTTTCAACTGTCGCCTCTGATTAGTCTCTCAGTATTTTGTATGTGGTGATCATGTCTCCATTTTTTGTATATAGTGGCATGAGGAGTGGGCAGGTGTGATGTCCCCGCTGCCACACTCATTACTACACGCCCCCCCCCTTCCTCCCCCCCATCACCCATGGCTCCCACACAGCCGCACGCCCCCCCCCCTTCCCCGCCCCACTACCCCCTCACCCACAACCCCCAATAACAACCCAAACATTTCATCTCTGAACCCTTCAACACGAACTATAACTCTAAGCGAGATAACTAACCTGGACAAGCGTGGAGGGAGGTGGTCAGCTGAGCGAGGGATCTGTGGTAGGAATGTGTTAAGGTAAGCCAGGTGTCCGGCTTAGCGAGAGGTTGAGCAAGCCAGTAGCTGTCGTCACACACCTGCCTGGCCGCCACACACTAACGGTCCCACCTCACATGACTGACCCACACCCATGAATGATAACCTCCCCCCCCCCACGGGAGACATCTCCCGTCACGCAGGGTGCAGTCGCACCTCCACAGATCTCCAGTATCAGCTCTTGATACTGGTAATGGCTCAAAAGGGCCACAAATTCCGGGCTATTCATGCCCGTGCCACCTTTTGGGAGGCTTAATCTTCATCAATCAATCATCCCCCCCCCCCCCCACGGTAGGGTAGTAACGAGCGGAGCACCACAAGCCTCCCCACAGCGACTACCTTACCAGTGGTTGTCACCGCCTGAGCCACAGGTCCGCCACCTTACACCAATGTTTATATTCACGACGATAAACACCACATGATTCACAACTCTGTGGTCTGAAAAAAATGACTACATGATTTCAGGCCACACAAATGCCAGGTGGCGAGGTTTCGGACGAGGGCGAGACGGCGGCCTGAGCCAGAAAATGAAGCAGCTGCCGTAGAGAGAGAGAGAGAGAGCCAAGTCCCACCGTGAAGCCATCATGCTACAGCTACACATGGACGCGATATCATCAGCGGCATACGCGACACCAACGACCGTCGTTGGTGTCGCATTCCACACATTCCCCAGTGTGGGATTACCCCACATAAAAACAGTGTGTGGAACTAGAAAAAGTGCCACACAAGCGTGCCAACGTGTGCATACATTCTCCTGCACTTAAAAGTCACACAGGCTTCCGCATCCAACGCACACGCACTCTGAGTGCCAGACCTGCCGGACACACGCACTCTGAGTGCCAGACCTGCCGGACACACGCACTTAAGAGACAGGCCCACCACCACTAGTGTATGTGAACTAACGGACACATGCACCAAGTACTTGAAAACATAACACACACACTAGTCTGTGTGTGTGTGTGTGTGTGTGTGTGTGTGTGTGTGTGTGTGTGTGTGTGTGTGTGTGTGTGTGTGTGAATCCCCCCTGGTAGAATTAATGAACATCCTTACCTTAATTAATTACATTACAATCAAACAAAAACAAACACTCGTTCATTTAGGTGAAGTGAACATAAAAATTCCAATATATAAAACAATCATAAAATATTTATACATAAATCAAACTATATCGCTAGCAACGCCAAACAAACGCTAAAAAATAAAGAACTCGCGATAATAACAGAACAATTCACGACCAGTATTAAAAAAACCCACAATAACAGCTAGAATAACAGCTGACAATAATTAATGAACACAATTAACTTGAGAACACGTGCTTAGACAGCCGAAGACCTCAATGACGCAAGTGAACGCACTCTCAAGATTAACTGAGAAACGCATAACGCAATTCTTCAGTTTCTTGACACTTCTCTACTGATCGCTAAGTGAATCCACACTTCACGTACTTCTAAGTACACATTATCCACGTGAGAACGCGAACAACGTATATGGTAGACCATATACTTGTATTTTGTTTGATTAAAACGTATGGAGGAATGTGCTTGTGTGACGTTTCTCCCGCCCTGTGCCAGTGACGTTCATGTTGTTGCTCCTGCTGGTGCTGGTGATATTTACAGTTCCTCTTGTTGCTCCTGCTGGTGCTGGTGATATTTACAGTTCCTCTTGTTGCTCCTGCTGGTGCTGGTGATATTTACAGTTCCTCTTGTTGCTGGTGCTGGTGATATTTACTGTTCCTCTTGTTGCTCCTGCTGGTGCTGGTGATATTTACAGTTCCTCTTCTTGCTCCAGCTGGTGCTGGTGATATTTACAGTTCACCTTGTTGCTCCTGCTGGTGCTGGTGATATTTACAGTTCGTCTTGTTGCTCCTGCTGGTGCTGGTGATATTTACAGTTCCTGTTGATGCTCCAGCTGGTGCTAGTGATAATACTACTGGCTGCCCCGCCCTAGCCTAACAACGTAACATATAAAGCATATCATAAAGGTGCATTAAACGCCCATCCGGCGACCAAAACACCCCCCCCTCCACCCCCCCATCATACAGCCCATCCCCCCCCCATCATACAGCCCATCACCCCAATCATCATACAAGTCCATCCTCAGACCATACAAGGCCATCCTCAGACCATACAAGTCCATCCTCACACCATACAAGAACATCCTCAGACCATACAAGCCCATCCTCAGACCATACAAGGCCATCCTCAGACCATACAAGCCCATCCTCACACCATACAAGAACATCCTCAGACCATACAAGCCCATCCTCAGACCATATAAGCTCATTCTCAGACCATACAAGACCATCCTCAGACCATACAAGACCATCCTCAGACCATACAAGACCATCCTCAGACCATACAAGTCCATCCTCAGACCATATAAGTCCATCCTCAGACCATATAAGCCCATCCTCAGACCATACAAGACCATCCTCAGACCATACAAGACCATCCTCAGACCATACAAGCCCATCCTCAGACCATACAAGACCATCCTCAGGCCATACAAGACCATCCTCAGACCATACAAGACCATCCTCAGACCATACAAGACCACCTTCAGACCTTCAAGACCATCCTCAGACCATACAAACCCATCCTCAGACCATACAAGTCCATCCTCAGACCATACAAGACCATCCTCAGACCATACACGACCATCCTCAGACCATACAAGACCATCCTCAGACCAAACAAGTCCATCCTCAGACCATACAAGCCCATCCTCTGACCATACAAGACCATCCTCAGACCATACAAGAACATCCTCAGACCATACAAGCCCATCCTCAGACCATACAAGCCCATCCTCAGACCATACAAGCCCATCCTCAGACCATACAAGACCATCCTCAGACCATACAAGTCCATCCTCAGACCATACAAGTCCATCCTCAGACCATACAAGCCCATCCTCAGTCCATACAAGCCCATCCTCAGACCATACAAGACCATCCTCAGACCATACAAGTCCATCCTCAGACCATATAAGCCCATCCTCAGACCATATAAGACCATCCTCAGACCATCCTCTGACCATACAAGACCATCCTCAGACCATACAAGACCATCCTTAGACCATACAAGCACATCCTTAGACCATACAAGACCATCCTCAGACCATACAAGACCATCCTTAGACCATACAAGACCAGCCTCAGACCATCCTGAGATCAGACAAGCACATCCCCCCAGTTAGATCAGCGTCAGAGGCAACTATCTTCATTAAAACTTCGACAAAATATTAAATATTGAGATAAGGGAAGGGGCTGAGACACGGGCTGGCGTCCCCACCTGCTTCACCAACACCTTGGCCTCCACCCTCAGGAACACTGCATGTTTCTCTACTGACGTCCACCCACAGTGATTTTTTTTTACTTTGTGAATTTATATATATATATATATATATATATATATATATATATATATATATATATATATATATATATATATATATATATATTTATATATATATATTTTTATATATATATATATATATATATATATATATATATATATTTATATATATATATATTTATATATATATATATATTTATATACATATATATATATATATATATATATATATATATATATATATATATATATATATATATATATATATATATATATATATATATATATATCGTTATTTCATCGTAGATAAGAGTACTTTGTACACATCTGTTGAATTTCCAACACACGCCCCGGAAACACCTCAACACTCATCCCTTTAATGGGCAAACGAATTAGCATTTTGTTTTCATTTGGGAAATCATACTTTTGTTGTCAAGAAAAAGTGGGAACATACACTTTTTTTTTTTTTTTAGCTCACATTATTTGATATATAGAATTTTTTAATGCTTAAAGATGTCTTTCTAAAAATCTGTTGGGACGAATGTCCACCGAGTCTGTCAAGATGTCTGCCAAGGAGGTGAGCTCACCCAGGAGGAAAATCTCCTGGAGGGGGCGTGAGGTGACATCACCCGCGCCCACTACGCCCGTGGGTTAGGGAGTCAAGGGCGTAACAGCGTAGAAACAAAATAAAAATTGGTATCTTACCTTGAGGTGACCAGCTGCTCGTCGAGTCCTTCCTGAGGGAGGCGAGACCAGGGATGGAGACGGTGCGTTTGGGCGTAGTGGTGGAGGGCGGTGGTCGGTAGCCAGGGGCGTGGTAGCGGGCTGACCGAGGCCCCGACACAGACAACCCTGCTCTCTCCAAGGTGGAGGGAGGGGACGCGTAGGGCACGTGTGTGGACGGGGTGACGGACGGAGTAACTTTGTTCAGCAGGGCGAACTGAGATCTGGGTAAGGAGGCCGTGGAGGCCACTTGGGTGGGATTGGATCGAGGTAGAGTTGTGGAGCGAACTTCGGGCGACATCCGGTCCTTGCTCGTGTCCGGCATAGACGACCGCCGAGCATACCGGAAGAAATTTAACTTCTTGGGTTTCTTTTCTTCCTCTTCCTCGGGACCGGAAGACCCCTGAAGGGAGCCTCGCGAGCCGGCGTTTAAGGAACCTCGACTAGATGCTGCCAGGCTTCCCCGGCTGCTGGTGGTGAGGGACCCGCGGCTGGAAGCATTCAGACGTATATTTGAGGAACTACTGCCAATGTGTCGGTCCAGGGAGTCCGACGCCTTCAGTGTGGAGTCAGAGTCCAGCTGCTCGTAGCTGCTCGAGAATTCTGAAGACCGGACGCGGTCCAGCAGATCACCAAGAGACTCTGACCTCTCACCTGTGGCCTTAACTTCCTCTTGGTGTATTTTCTCCAGACTCATGTGACTCTTGGCTTTCCTGGTCTCTTGACGTCTGGCACTGCGACGCGCTCTAGGCACACCGTGCAGCTCGCGGGCGTCGAACTTGTCCTCGTCAATTGTTACACTTTGCCAGACTTCCACTTCATTCTTGCTGATTCCTGTCACGAAGTACTGGATGTTGGTAACTCCTCGCTCCTCAAGAGTGCGCTCAGATGCTGTGTTCTGTTGAGGTCGCGCGGTGTCAAGGCGAGTCTGGTGCCGCGGAGAGTCGTGCGAGGCGAACACAGTACGTTGACTCTCCAAAGATGTGAAATCTTCAGCCGAGGAGCGCTCGCTAATGATGGAGAGTGGCCCCTGCCGTTTTCGAGCTTTTGGAGTGCCAGGATCAGAATCTGGCGACTGCTCTGTGTCGGTGGGACTGTCTTCTGACTCAAAGCTGGTACTAGTTAGTGAGCTTTTTTCGACCGAGGAGTCGATAGATATGGAATCGACAGACGTATGTTTTCTGTGAATGAAGAGAGGCACTTTGGGACTGGAAGTAACAGGATGGCCGCCGCTGAGGGAGTCGTCGTCCCCGTTCTCACTGCCGCCGGACACCTCGTGCATGAGAGCCACCAGGCGGTTGCCGATGTGATGCATGACCTTGGCTAGCAGGGGCGGGGAGGCGCCCTGAGACCCGGACCCAATGCTTCCCCGGTCGCTGTCTGGCTTTAGTCGGGAGATGGAAGACATCAGTCGCTGATATACGAAAACGGTGTCCTTGTTGGAGGGGGAAGCGTCTTCAGAGCTCTCAGAACACGCTCGTCCACCGAAGAGCGAGTGAGCGCTGTCGGTGTCACTTGGTTCGCGACTCTGATCGAATTTTTGAATTATTTGTTGACAAGAAGCTGAGATCTGTTCCTGCAAGTCGCTTCTCATCTCCGGGTCGGCTTGGTCGAGGAGCGCATAGGCGCCCTCCAGGTCGCTACTGGTGTAATCTGAAGAGTCGTACGAGTCGCTCCAAGTGTCCTCAGAGCTAAGATACTCGACGATCTCCTTCACCTGTTCGTCATTGATGCCAGGAACCGTTTTCATGAGGTTGGTCAGTTTAGCCTCAAACGCCAGCAGCTGAGGTGGCTTGACTCGCTGCCCCTTGGAAGCGTCCCGAGAGTTAGAGATCATGGTCTTGAAGAAGGCGCGCATCTTGTTCATCATCATATTGGTCTCCTCATCCGAACTCCAGTTGTTGAAGGAATCCTTGCGACAGATTTTGTTCCTGGCCTTGTCGGCGGAGAAGGGCGGGAAGTCGACCGATGATCCTGTGCTCGACCTCGACACTTTGCCGTCTCCGCTGCTACGCTCCTCGGTCTCTGACTTATTGTTGTTGCTGTCGTTGTCAAAGCTGTCGCCCTTCCCTGCTACATTCTTATGTGATACATCTTGCAAGTGATCGTTCCTCTTCGACGAGTTCTCGCCGTCCTCGACGCTGGATTCCGAGGACAAACGAGACTTCTGTTCCTTGTTGGTGTCTTCTGGCTTATCTTTAAGTAAGTCGTCAGAACTTCCAATGAAACCACTGTCTCGACTTAGGTACTTCCGGTCCGAGAGGTCTCCTTCCCTCTCCATCTTGTCATCATTCCTTTCTCTGCTCTCTTTATCACACTCAATTGTCACGCGTTTCGTAACTTTTTCTCCTTCGTGCACCAGTGACTTGAGCGCCTCGGAATTCTTCAATTCGCAAATTTCTTCTCTGTGCTCAATTTCGTGCTGCTCCAAGGCTCTAAGTTCGCTCTTATCGCTGTCGGATTTTTTATCGCAATAATCTCCAGAGCCCTTTTTCTTTTTTCTTCGTTTTATGGTATCGAACTGCCCATCTCCTTTATCAAAGGCTGTCTCTTCTGACTCGGTGGAGCCATCGTCTTCGCCGCTCACCAGGGTCCTGTCCACGTCGTCGCCTTCAGAATGGTGAGACCCGTCGCTCGGGGCGCCATCCCACCGATCACCTGTCACCAACGATCTGTTAACGACACCTGGACGAAACCCCCGAGGCCGCCTCACTAGCTTCTTCCGAGGCTGTTCCGGGCTGGGAGAGCCTTCAGAGTCACTCCCGACGGAGCCACTTTCGTCGGTGTGAAGCTCGGACTCCTCACCCATGGACCTGATGGACGGTTGGCGTTCGAATCCTAGGAACCCCGTCAAGAAGTACTTTTCTAGCCTGGAAGACGCCAGCTCGGCAGGATCAATGTCTTCCTCATATTTACAGTCAATATCTACTCCTTCACTGAAGATGGAACTTGAGGTCTCAGAGAAAGTGTCACTGTATTCGCTCTCCTCGTTAGCGTACCTCTTTGAGTCGGCTGGGCCGTTCCCAAGACCGAAGTAAAAGTATTTCTCCAACTCTGAAGGGTCTGCCTTGGCCCCGTCCTCTTCCTTGGGCTTCCTCTCATAGTCGCTCTCTTCGCAGCTCTCCTCAATAATGGTGTGAAGAGTGAAGTCGATGGCCCGGTTACAGTAACCCCGAAGTTCGACTTCTCGGTCACAGATTTCATCACCAGAAGACTCACTGTAGTTCGACTCGCTGTTGACGGATTCCCCATCCTCGATGGAATCAAATCGCCCATCAACTTCCTGCTCGACATACATATCTTCACCCTCGAACTCGTCCCCGTCGTTGAACGCCTGATTGACCTCGTCGAAGGAGAGGTCTTCCTCAAACTCGACCTCATCAGGGAAGATGACTGTTTTCTCCCCATCGTCCCATGAGTCAAACTCCTGTGTGTTGTTGTACTCCTCCTCGATGTCGATACCATGGTGCTCCTCGTAGGCCAACAGGTCGCCCTCTGAGTGGTCTGGCGTCTGGGACGGGCTGGCAGGGCTTGTAGGGACTGGAGACTCGACATTTTCAGGGCGGTCAATCTTACGACGCCGAATTTCTGGTGTTTTGTTGAGTCTTCTTGGAGCGTGAGGAGAGTCCGTGCCTAAGGTGAGGGTAAAGTAGTTGGCTAAACTCGAATTCGACTCCTTCATCTCCGTCGGTGATCGTCGGAACTGTTGCTGTCGTTCGCGAGTTGTCAAGATCATGGACTGCAACTCACTCACTTGACTCCTTCTGGCAGGCGAGGCACTGCGCGAGGAGTCCGGACTCGTGACGTGGACCGACATCACGTGGCCACGTCGCGCGTCACTGGTCACCTCTAAGATGGTCACGTCATTACCTTCATTCTTTATGTTACGTTGGGAGTTGATGCCATCAGCGTCACCCTCGACGTCTTCACCGGACTCCGCTCCTGACGACCCCGTCACCACAATGCATGTAGGTTTGATCTGCACATCAGAGTCCGTGGAGTCCGACCTGATGTATATCCTGCCGTGCGACGACAGGCGTGTGCTGTGGTCGTCCTCATCCCCGACAGACACGATGGACACCAGGTTCCCCTCCTCGCTGTTGTCGGAGCACTGCGACTCGCTGTCGGCGCCGTGAAGTACGGAGTCAGCCGACGACGGTCCGTCCGAGTCACGACCCTTGTCGTCGTGGTCGTGGCGGTGCTTCTGAAGCGCGAACCTGCGCAACTCAGCGTGCAGTTTGCCTCCCTCGACTACCGTGTCAGCAGAGTCGCTAGCATCCGCGTCGGAACGTTCAATGTCAGAAGAGGAGGAGACGCCGTCGGAAGAAGAGGATCGCTTGGTGCGTCGTGAGGGCACAGGTGGGGTATGGCGACGCACTGGCTCCGGGGAACGTACCCGCCGCACTGCGAACCGCCTCACCTCCTGCCCGAGGAAGTCACTACCTACGACGCTGACGGGGATGCTGACGCCGTCGTCATCGAGATGACTGTCGTGTCTCTCCGTCACACTGATCTTCACCACATTACCGGGGTCATCCCCCTCCACCTCACTCTCACCAGCACTAGAGTGACCAGACTCACTGGAGTCACCCTCAGCACAAACACTCTTCACTTCCGTATTAAAACACTCAAATATATCCTGGTGGGGGGAGAGGCGCAGCACCCCAGGCGGCGCCGCGTCCGCTGGTGCACTGCTGACGTCGCTGGTGGTGTGGGGAGCAAGGGCTGACGCGTGCGGGCCCGCAGGCGCGGCATGTGTTACTGACGTGTGGCCGCAGCTGGGAGCCGCAGTGCTGTGTTCCACTTGTTCACTTCCGGCGTCGACTCTAGTGCTAGCAGGTCCGGGGCTCTCTCCTACTGCCGCCTCCTGACACTCGCCTCCGTACTCCGCCCCTTCACTTTCTCCTGGACAATGTTCGATACTCTCGCTAGCGTGCTCGGCCGCAGGGGGCCGCGGGGCACCTTCGACAGGTGAAGGCCTCCCACAGGAGACAATGTCAGGGGCCGACACCTGCGGCTGTATGTCCTCTGTGGTATCTGTCTCCAGTGGGGCTGAGGTGCCTGGCGCGGCGGCAGCCTCCTCTCCCACAGGAGAGGTTTCCTGTGCGACAGCTGGAACCTCAGGAGAGGTAGGTTCAGCAGCACCCGTCCCGTCCACTGTGGCTGCTGCCTCGCCAGTAATACCGCCTGCTGTGACCTCTTCTTTATCTGTGACCTCAGAGGCAGCTACGACCTCTTCTGTGTCTTCAGACGCAGCTACGACCTCCTCTGTGACTTCAGAGAGAGCTAATACTTCCTCTGTGGTTTCAGAGACAGTTACGACCTCTTCTGTGACTTCAGACGCAGCTACGACCTCTTCTGTGGTTTCAGAGACAGCTACGACATTTTCTGTGGCATCAGAGGCATCTACTACCTCCTCTGTGACTTCAGGGGCAGCTACGACCTCTTCTGTGGCATCAGAGGCAGCTACTACCTCTTCTGTGGTTTCAGGGGCAGCTACGACCTCTTCTGTGGCATCTACTACCTCCTCTGTGACTTCAGAGGCAGCTACGACCTCTTCTGTGGCATCAGAGGCATCTACTACCTCCTCTGTGACTTCAGAGGCAGCTACGACCTCTTCTGTGGTTTCAGAAGCATCTACTACCTCTTCTGTGGTTTCAGGGGCAGCTACGACCTCTTCTGTGGCATCTACTACCTCCTCTGTGGCTTCAGAGGTAGCAACGACCTCTTCTGTGGTTTCAGGGGCAGCTACGACCTCTTCTGTGGCATCAGAGGCGTCTACTACCTCCTCTGTGGCTTCAGAGGCAGCTACGACCTCTTCTGTGGCATCTACTACCTCCTCTGTGGCTTCAGAGGTAGCTACGACCTCTTCTGTAATTTCAGAGACAGTTACGCCCTCTTCTGTGACTTCAGAGACACCTAACTCTTCTGTATCTGCAATTTCAGAGGCACCTACGACCTCTTCTGTACTCGTGGTTTCAGAGACAGCTACGACCTCTTCTGTATCAATGGCCAGAGAGTCGAGTAGAGACTCGTGTGTTGGCTCGGAGTGGGTGGTGGGGAGGTGGGCGGCGCCGCCCCCGCCACCCACTCCGGGGGTGGCGCTGACCGCCGTAACGTGGGCGGTGGTGTTGTGCTCGCTCGCGCCAGCACCCTCCCCACCTTGCACCCCCACACCGCTAACCTCACTAGTTACTCCTAAGTCAGTCATACCTATAGTGCTGTTTTCGCTAGCACCTCCTACGCTAGTGCTGGCCGCACTCACGTTCTTATCTGGGGTTTCTCCGTCAAATACGGTGGTAAGTTCCTCCACCATCACTAAGCTATCATCACTCTTGTTAGTAATTTCCTCCGCCATCACTGCACTCTCAGTGTTGTCACCCGTCACCATCACTGCACTCTCAGTGTTGTCACCCGTCACCATCACTGCACTCTCAGTGTTGTCACCCGTCACCATCACTGCACTCTCACTGTTGTCACTCTTCACCATCACTGCACTCTCATTGTTGTCACCCTTCACCATCACTACATTTCCACCTTCGTTAGTAACTTCCTCCACCATCACTGCACTACCAGCACTCTCACCCTCACCCATCACTGCACTACCACCACTGTCACCCTCACGCATCACTGCACTACCACCACTCTCACCCTCACCCATCACTGCATGACCACCACTCTCACCCTCACCCATCACTGCACCACCGCTGTCGTCGGACTTGGTCAATACACTGTGGACATCCTCATCCAAGTCTTGACTCACGTCCACCTGACACATTTCATCAACATTTCTCGTCATCATTAAGTCACCACTGAGCCTCTCAGAAGGACCCAGAGGCTCCACCCCGCCGCCTCCAGAATGTGAAGACGACCCTAGATCCACCTGCGCCTCATTGTATCGCGGGGAACCCGGTTCCAGGGTGAGATCACAGAGTTGCTCGTTGATGGCTTCTACCGCCTCCTGCTGCGCCTCCTTCAGCCCCACCTCGCCCGCCTCCACGACTAAGGTGAGGTCAGTATTCACAGCCTCCACCACTTCATCCTTCTCGGCCTCCTTTGGCCGAACCTCGCCCAGTTTAACACCTTGGGCCATGTTAGCCACGTCTTCGTCCACGTCTGGAGACGATGTGGTGAAGACGGTGATTTCCTCGAGGGCACCAGTGTCCGACTTATCGAGGTCAGAGTCCGTCGAGGACGATCTTGTGAGGCTGTACTCCTTACTGAAATGTTTGTCCTCGTCGGTATCGCTGTCATCCGAGGACGAGGAGGTAATATCCTGTTGCTCGTTCTCGATAATGTTGGAGATATTCCCGACCTCTGTGACGCCCTCGGCCTCGCTATCCACTTCGTCAGGAACAATGGTGTAGCTGCGAGACACGTGAACGTCTTCATCCGTGTCCTCCGCCTCGCTGGTAGTGCTGGAGGGCGTGTCCAGCCCCTTGCCGGGGTGTGGGACACGGGCGGACGCAGAGGAAGAGCTCGAGTCCGCCTGGATAACTCTCTCCAAGGCGTCGAGATCACCGTCAGCGTCGAGCACCCGTCGAGTGGGGTTTCGGTGTGGGCGTGAGAGACTCATGGTGGGCGCGGGTTGGGGCGGTGGGCGTGCGGTGCGGCAGGCGGGTGTGTGTGTGGTGTTGGTCGCTGCTATGCGGGGGGACCTAGGCACCTCCTGCCCCCCACCACCACGGCCGCCATCCTGCTCCTTCCTGCCCCGACCTCCTATCACACCTCTCCTGCCATCCTGGCGCTCCTGCTCTTCCTTCGGATCACTCCTTGCACTCTCAAGGCGCTCACTGCACTCCAAGTCACTCACCGAGTCCGCCCTCAACTCACTTCCAACACACGGGTCGTATTCCTTGAGCCTGTCATCCGTCTCAGTGTCGGACGGGTGGGCGACTGAGGTCTCGCGACTGAGCGTGAGGTGCAGGTGGAAGGAAGGGGGGTACGGCAGGTGAGGGGGAAGCTCTTCCCCCTCTCGCTCCCGGTCCCCCCCACCACCACCACCACCACCCCCTCCTCCAACACCGCCGTCACCTCCACCGCTGCCGCAGGACGCCGTGTATCCTTGCGTCCTTGGCGGTACTCCTTGCGTCAGGGAGGACAGCCTGGCGGTGGTCTGTGGCGAGTGTGTGTGGCGAAGACCCCGCACGAGCCTTGATGATGCTTGAGAGTTCCCCTGGGGCTCGGGGGTGAGTTTGTTGCGTCTGGGGGACTCTGAAGGGCACACCGGGGGCTCGGGGGTGAGTTTGTTGCGTCTGGGGGACTCTGGGGCTCGGGGGTGAGTTTGTTGCGTCTGGGGGACTCTGAAGGGCACACCGGGGGCTCGGGGGTGAGTTTGTTGCGTCTGGGGGACTCTGACAGGGGCTCGGGGGTGAGTTTGTTGCGTCTGGGGGACTCTGAAGGGCACACCGGGGGCTCGGGGGTGAGTTTGTTGCGCGTGGGGGACTCTGACGAAGGCTCGGGGGTGAGTGTGTTGCGTCTGGGGGACTCTGACGAAGGCTCGGGCGTGAGTTTGTTGCGCCTGGGGGACTCTGACAGGGACTCGGGGGTGAGTTTGTTGCGTCTGGGGGACTCTGAAGGGCACACCGGGGGCTCGGGGGTGAGTTTGTTGCGCCTGGGGGACTCTGACGAAGGCTCGGGCGTGAGTTTGTTGCGTCTGGGGGACTCTGAGGGGCACACAGGGGGCTCGGGAGTGAGCTCGTTACGCCTGGGGGGAACAGGGGGGCACACCGGGGGCTCAGGGGTGAGCTCGTTACGCCTGGGGGGAATAGGGGGGCACTCTTGAGGCTCAGGTGTGAGCTCGTCACAGCTGGAGCTCAACACGACGAGTTCTGGGTCAGTTTGTATACAAATATCCCGACTAGATTTGCGCGCACTTGCGGGCGCTGTGGGCGCCGCCGTGACACTGCTCCCTTGGTCACGAGCTGCGGCATGCTTGCTGCCCTTATCTCTCCGCTGATATGATACACGTGATAAGGATCCGGGGGGTACAGAGGCGGCGGGCTGATGTTGCGTGAGATAACTGTACCAGTCAGGTCGAATGTATCCGGTCACCGTAGTGCCTTGATTGACACCGTAGTAGTTCTGGATCTCAGTCAGGACCCGCTTGCGGTACTCCCTCAGCGCCGGGGAGTCGTGCGGGCTGCCGGCGGCACGTACCTGGTCGTGGCACGACAACTCGCCCAGTGACCTCTCAGCGGAGCTGCGGGTAGAGTCGCCTCGTTTGAAGCTCCGCCCGCCAGAGATGGCAGTCATGGCGGACGCTGACGGAGTGAAGGCACCCATCAGAGCAGCCTGAAGAGCCTGGGCCTCCGCCTGTACTGCCTCCGTTTGGCGCAACATTGCGTGTAACTCATTGGTGTCCATAGCTGTGAGAGGCATGATCAGGGGCTGTGCGGAGGCGGGCGCGCCAGGGCCGTTAGGAGCGCCCATGCCTTTCTGGGTCATCTTGTCGGTGCCACTGTTGTGGTGGGCGGGCGATGGCACTCTCAGTGCCGGGGCAGGTGACACACCCTTCACCTTGGAGGGCTCGGGCTCGCTGTCCTCGCCTTCAGAGGCTTCGACGCTCAGGTATTCCCCGTCCGTCATGACGCATGCGTCGACGCGGGGGGTGACACCATTCAATTTCCGACGTCGTCCAGCTTGAGACTCAGACTCGTAGTAGTCCCAATCACTCTCATCGATGAATCCGGCGTTATCGGAGTCGTTAACGGCGCTCACACTTGACACGCGTCTCGAGGGCGACCCAGAGTTGTCAGAGTCTATGGAGGAATTGAGTTCGGAATCTTTGGAAGAGTCGGAACTGATGAAGACTAGTTTGTAGTCATCGCCCTCAGGCAGAATCTTCTCGGCGTCGAGAACGATGTCAGAGGCTGTGTCAGAGTGTCGGTGGGACGAGTGGTCAGAGTGCCGGTTGGAGCAACGGTCATCGAACTCCGCCTTAGAAGTGCCGGTGTCGCTGGGGGAGCCAGTCGAGGTTTTGTCCTTGGGGCGGCGGCCGAGGCTCCGGCCGGAATGGGAGGAGTCTTTGGAGGGACTAGAAGGTGCCCTTGGGTGTTCCCCGACGGACAGCGGCTGCTTCTTAGGCATCATGTTCTCTACCGTCATCTGGATTCCCCGCTCGAGTTCCTTGACGTAGCGGGCGACCTGGCCCGACAGGGACTCCCTGGAGAGCGGCGCCGGGTACTCGTCGTCCACGCGCGGGGACCCCACCTGGAAGGAGCGACTTCGTCTCACTCCCGCCTGGCCGTGGGACGCCCTCCGCGGCCGACCCGTCGTCGCGAAGCCTTGTGGGGGAGGAAACATGAACATGGTCAGCTTGTCAGATAAAACCATGATGGATTTTCAGAGTTAGTCTTGCCATGTTCGACACCTTGAACTCTTGCGGTTAGTGCTGGCTCTTGGTGTCAGTGTTACCTCGGCCCCCTCCACCCAGAGAGCAAGGTCATCATGCACAGGTTACGAAGGTCATTAGTAACACAGAGATGCGTAGGGAAGTGTGTGAAGTTAGTAGAGAACTTGTTACTACACATGGCCCGGGGAAAGTTGACAGCCGCAGGTGTAAAAAGTAGTTCCAGTGTGCTGTCAAGGTGGCAGTCATGCAGTACGTGGCGCTCGGCCCGTGACGTCCAGTCATGCAGTTAGTAACGCCCACACCACCAACGTCTCACAAATACACAGCAGGTTAGCATCAAAGTGTTCTATGTTAGTTTCCCCAAGCAACCAAAAGTCTAGGTACTAGTGAAGAAGTGGGAGAGCCGCGCTACTTACTCCCTTCATTATATATATATATATATATATATATATATATATATATATATATATATATATATATATATATATATATATATATATATGAATGAAAACTCACACCCAGAAGTGACTCGAACCCATACTCCCAGAAGCAACGCAACTGGTAACTACAGGGCGCCTTAATCCGCTTGACCATCACGGCCGTCAAAAGGAAGTGATAGCCGAGGCTATTTGAGCCACTTCCCCGACGGCAACTCGGATGGTAATCTTGGGCATAGCATTTCACCAAATCACCTCATTCTTTGGGGCACACGTGAGGAACACAAATGCGAATGATTAGTAACGAAGTGTTACACGCATTTGTGTTCCTCACGTGTGCCCCAAAGAATGAGGTGATTTGGTGAAATGCTATGCCCAAGATTACCATCCGAGTTGCCGTCGGGGAAGTGGCTCAAATAGCCTCGGCTATCACTTCCTTTTGACGGCCGTGATGGTCAGCGGATTAAGGCGCCCTGTAGTTACCAGTTGCGTTGCTTCTGGGAGTATGGGTTCGAGTCACTTCTGGGGTGTGAGTTTTCATTCGCATATAGTCCTGGGGACCATTCAGGCTTGTTCGCATATATATATATATATATATATATATATATATATATATATATATATATATATATATATATATATATAACGAAGAACAGACTGGAGGTAAGCTTATTATACCACACTGAACTGGCAACAGAAGGTCGGGACCAGGGATATAGTGGGCTGGCCAATAGGAAGGGTGCCATGATGTTGTTGACAGTCCAAGAGAAGATCTGTCCTCATGTGAAGGGAAACTCACGAGGCTTCATGAATGAAGGGGAAACATACTCTGGCACGAGTCCCATACCATTACTAAGGGTGGAGTCATCACCCACCCACTACTCATCACTCCCCACCGCAGACTCAGGTCCTAGTGAACTCTTCTTTAATACCAAGGAAGATTGCCAGCTATAAGGAGCATGCAGCCAGGAGACAGAGAAGGCTTCAAGAAGAAACACTGGGAATCAGAGGTACAGGAACAAGAGCAGAAGAGACCGTAAGGTCCTCAGGAGGCAGCACAAGTACCTCGTAAGCCACAGTTCTAAATAAATATTAGCTTTCGAAAATGCAATTTTACATGACTGATAGAGCTAGGTTCAGGTCCAAGAAGCAAGAAATGAGCAATTTTTGAATTTGATCGAAGTCTTAATTAGCAAAATTATCTAACCTACATAATGCCAATTAACACCTAATTCTAAAATAGGTAAAGCTAGCTTTAGTTCACTAGGAACGATTACTGCAGTCTGGGACCAAAAGTCATCAAGCATTTACAACATCTTTTACGAAACCTGTACATCTTTCCTTAATCATGGCAACTTTGTTTACATGAATTAAATAGTCTATGAGCGAAGCGCAACAAAGTTGTTTATAAACAATGATGACCTTGGCGTGTGAAGATGCCAAAACTCATACACCGTTGAACGAATGTAAACACTGCAACCATTATTAAACAAAAGATGTAAACATGTCGTAAGTAGTTCCGCGAATACTTGATGATTCATGGCAATTAGGTAAGGTAATTATCAGGAGAAAGTGCTGAGCCATTACCACTATACACAGCACACTTAAAGAGATTTGAGGATATGGATTTAGGATGGGACGGAGGGAAGGAATGGTGCCCCAACCACTTGGATGGTCGGGGATTGAACACCGACCTGCATGAAGCGAGACCGTCGCTCTACCGTCCAGTCCAGGGAGCTGGGCGGCCCCTGGCCATGAGGTATGACGTGTCTAATGTGAAAGCCTCACTAATACTTCCCATCACAAGTCGCCCTGAATCATTCTTCGTTTCTGTCCAAACCCGTCCTCTCCTTACTAATATAATACCCCATCACTATGGTCCACCACCACAGTGCCCCATCACCATGGTCCACCACCACAGTGCCCCATCACCATGGTCCACCACCACAGTGCCCCATCACCATGGTCCACCACAACAGTGCCCCATCACCATGGTCCACCACCACAGTGCCCCATCACCATGGTCCACCACCACAGTGCCCCATCACCATGGTCCACCACCACAGTGCCCCATCACTATGGTCCACCACCACAGTGCCCCATCACTATGGTCCTCCACCACAGTGCCCCATCACTATGGTCCTCCACCACAGTGCCCCATCACTATGGTCCTCCACCACAGTGCCCCATCACCATGGTCCACCACCACAGTGCCCCATCACTATGGTCCACCACCACAGTGCCCCATCACCATGGTCCACCACCACAGTGCCCCATCACCATGGTCCTCCACCACAGTGCCCCATCACTATGGTCCACCACCACAGTGCCCCATCACTATGGTCCTCCACCACAGTGCCCCATCACTATGGTCCTCCACCACAGTGCCCCATCACTATGGTCCTCCACCACAATGCCCCATCACTATGGTCCACCACCACAGTGCCCCATCTCTATGGTCCACCACCACAGTGCCCCATCACTATGGTCCACCACCACAGTGCCCCATCACTATGGTCCTCCACCACAGTGCCCCATCACTATGGTCCACCACCACAGTGCCCCATCTCTATGGTCCACCACCACAGTGCCCCATCACTATGGTCCACCACCACAGTGCCCCATCACTATGGTCCTCCACCACAGTGCCCCATCACTATGGTCCACCACCACAGTGCCCCATCACTATGGTCCTCCACCACAGTGCCCCATCACCATGGTCCACCACCACAGTGCCCCATCACTATGGTCCTCCACCACAGTGCCCCATCACCATGGTCCACCACCACAGTGCCCCATCACTATGGTCCTCCACCACAGTGCCCCATCACTATGGTCCACCACCACAGTGCCCCATCACTATGGTCCTCCACCACAGTGCCCCATCACTATGGTCCACCACCACAGTGCCCCATCACTATGGTCCTCCACCACAGTGCCCCATCACCATGGTCCACCACCACAGTGCCCCATCACTATGGTCCTCCACCACAGTGCCCCATCACTATGGTCCTCCACCACAGTGCCCCATCACCATGGTCCACCACCACAGTGCCCCATCACTATGGTCCTCCACCACAGTGCCCCATCACTATGGTCCACCACCACAGTGCCCCATCACTATGGTCCACCACCACAGTGCCCCATCACTATGGTCCTCCACCACAGTGCCCCATCACCATGGTCCACCACCACAGTGCCCCATCACTATGGTCCTCCACCACAGTGCCCCATCACCATGGTCCACCACCACAGTGCCCCATCACTATGGTCCACCACCACAGTGCCCCATCACTATGGTCCACCACCACAGTGCCCCATCACCATGGTCCACCACCACAGTGCCCCATCACTATGGTCCACCACCACAGTGCCCCATCACTATGGTCCTCCACCACAGTGCCCCCATCACCATGGTCCTCCACCACACAAACTTTCCACCCTCACGACCAGCAATTCATGGATACGTGAGCGTGTATAATGAGGAGGTTGTGAGGTGGTGCGCGGAGCCCCCCCCCCCCTCTCACCATCTCCCGCCCCTCACACCCCTCTCCCTCACCCCTTCCCCCTCACCCCCTCCCTCTCACCCCCCCTACCCCCTCCGCCACTATCACCCTCGCGGCAAATCTTGGAAAAATGAGGTTGATGTGAGGTTGAGAAAACGTTGCTCGCTGACAATTATGAGGGCAGGGGACCAGCGCAGGTAGATTATTCCTCACTAGCAGCCTTCACTGTCTCACTCATACTCCTCTGTCCACTCACTCACTCATACTCCTCTGTCCACTCACTCACTCATACTCCTCTGTCCACTCACTCACTCATACTCCTCTGTCCACTCACTCACTCATACTCTTCTGTCCACTACACTCACTCATACTCCTCTGTCCTCTACACTCACTCATAGTCTTCTGTCCACTCACTCACTCATACTCCTCTGTCCTCTACACTCACTCATACTCCTCTGTCCTCTACACACACTCATACTCTTCTGTCCACTCACTCACTCATATTCTTCTGTCCACTACACTCACTCATACTCCTCTGTCCTCTACACTCACTCATACTCCTCTGTCCTCTACACACACACATACTCTTCTGTCCACTCACTCACTCATACTCCTCTGTCCTCTACACTCACTCATACTCTTCTGTCCACTCACTCATACTCTTCTGTCCACTACACTCACTCATACTCCTCTGTCCTCTACACTCACTCATACTCCTCTGTCCTCTACACACACTCATACTCTTCTGTCCACTCACTCACTCATACTCCTCTGTCCTCTACACTCACTCATACTCTTCTGTCCACTCACTCACTCATACTCTTCTGTCCACTACACTCACTCATACTCCTCTGTCCTCTACACTCACTCATACTCTTCTGTCCACTACACTCACTCATACTCTTCTGTCCACTCACTCACTCATACCACAATTCACAACACAATCACTGTCAACACAACAATCACTGTCTGCACAACAATCAGTGTCA